AAAAAAAAGAATAAAAAAACGGCTGCTTTACCAAAAATGACTTACTGCAACTGTGCTTTTAGATTTCCTTCTCTTACGGCGGCTTCAAGTGATTCCCATGCTTCGGCAGCTCTCCTTGAGCTTCGCAGCATCCACCTCAACACATTGCTTTTCGTTCTTTTCTTTTCTTTATCGTTTCCAAAGGGGCGCATTTTTTATCCAGGGGGCGCATCATGCATGGGATATACTCGAGACGGCAGTATACATACTTTTTCTTTTGCAATTCTTTTCCGTCCCCTTACCCCAACCTTCCCTTCTTTCTTTTCTAATGCTTCACGCTTTATGATTATATTTTGCTTTTCAATCGTTCAATTCATCGGACTCGGAGAAACGGAAATGGAAACGGACACGGGCTTGTATTCTGGGCGCTGCATATCTATTGGGAGGAGCAACATTGCAAAAATAATATACACATTCAACGGACCTACACAGGGGGTGAAAAAAAAAAAAGAAACGGAGAATTAAGTCAAGAAACCTCCTTAGCTAGCTTTCAGATAGGTACCTATCAAATCAACCAAATCTACGTGTTCTTCTCTTCGACGGTGTTCTTCTGTGCCTCATCTTGCTGCTGTCTGCACGCCCGTTTCTTTTTCATGCGATCCATCAGATTTGCTGCACCCGATGTCGACTTGGCCATGGAGGCCGCATTGGCTGCTTTCCGCCCGTCCCCCCTCCTCTCTCTGCAGGCCCCTGTCCATGCTGCCCGCAGTGACTGTTAGTACTAGTTGTCATAGTGTATCAACCTGTGGCGGTGGTGGGGAGGAGGAGTTAGGGGGCTTAGCAGGCGGGAGGTTTGTTGCCCCTCCAGCAGCCCATCTCGCCACCCGTAAGCAAACAGCTCGTTATCTACCTATATAAGAGGGCCCCGGGGGAGAAGACAGAGCAACAGCCAGCAAGCCATCCAGTCAGTCAGTCCCCATCCTCCATCCTGCCCATCAATCTACTTGTCAACCGGCCAATTCGTTAGTTGACTAGTTAGCTGACCAGCAAGCCCCTCGCCTCTGCGTTTCATAGATCGAACCCCTCTATTTACCTTCACGAACACACCTAGCTACCATGTCCTTCAACGACCAGCAGCACCGCGGTGAAGCCGCAGGCTACTACGACGGAAACAACCTCCAGCTGGACCAAGAGCAGGCCATCAGACAGGCCAGATACGAGAAACATGGACGTGAAGACAAGGAAGACGACGATGACTCCCTCTTCAGCAAGGCCATGGGCTTCCTGAATAATAAGAAGGACAAGGTGGGCCGCGAGGACATCGACGAGCAGAAGGTGGTGCGATCCCACCAGATGCTTTACGGAGACAAAGACGACCGAGATGAGAAGCACGGTGCCGAGTCTTTGGGCTCCGGAGCGGCCATGCAGGCTCTTAAGATGTTCATGAACAGCAGTGGAAACCAGAACCAGAGCCAGGGCGGTGGTGACCAGAACAAACTTGTTGGTATGGCAATGGCACAGGCTGGCCAGATGTGGGAGCAGAAGAACCAGCAGGGCCGTGTGGTGAGTCCTTGATATGCCGCCAACTGCTTGATGATATCGCTGGTAGTTAACTGGTTACTGACAACGAATCTAGAACACTGACAAGCAGACTGCCGTCAACATGGCTGCTGAGTATGCTCTTAAGATGTACATCAAGGGCCAGATGGGTGGTGGAAGCACTGGAGCGGGCGGACTAGGCGGTCTCGGTGGCCTCGCTCTTATTTCTAGTGCTCTGGGAGGAAGTGGTGGTCAACAGCAGCAGGGTGGTGGACTTGCTGCCCTTGCTGGTGCTTTGACCGGCGGAGGCCAGCAGCAGCAGCAACAGCAACAGCCAAGCGGATTAGCTGCTATTGCCGGTGCTTTGGGTGGCGGCGGTGGCCAGCAGCAGCATCAGCAGCAACAGCAGCAACAGAACCAGCAGCAGGGCGATGGAGCTTCTAACTTATTGAACATGGCTTCGAAGTTCCTGAAGTAAAGTAGATTGAGGGCTCAATTGCGCCTATTCTAGATGATGTGGCTGTTTCGGGGCTATGTCGTTCGTTGGGATATAGTATATAGCTATTCTTGATTTTAGCCAATGAATCACGATGTCTATGTGACACTTTGCTTATATTCGGGCAGCTTCATTGAACAAGTTACTGGTAGTTGAGATCTAAATAGTGCCAGCATTTAGTTATCTTTAACTTTTAAGTACGGGATATTAGAGCCACGGTAACCACTTATACTTAACAAAGGACAAGATTTCCATTACCCATGGTAGAATATAGGCTATTAATCTTATAACTCTATCAAGTTGTCTGCTCTCCTTGCCTTTCCCGTTTGATTTTTATAAAAAAAAGACACATACTGTCCGCTGATACCGAGGATGGGTACCTATCAAATCCAAGCAACCCGCCCGATGTTACTCCCTCCAACCCTAACTGTGGCACTAACAAGGAACAGCCCAGTAGTTAACTAGTTACGGCGGCTGATCACCGGGCAGACAGGATGTCTTTAAGAGGATGGAAAGGCCTGCATCAATCCTTCTCGGCACATCAAGGTGCTTCAGCCCTGGACATAAACAGATATGATGACTGTCGAACGTGCTGAGCGGGATCTGACGGGTGAGGATGCAGCAACCAAGGCCAGCGTTGATACAAGAGACGCCGAGATACCAGACGGACCTACCACCGAGACGCTGGATGAGAAATTCCAGACCTCTAAATGGGAGATTTGGGCATATTATGCGTGTGTTTTCTCTCCTATGCCAGGAAAAGAAGATGGCTCTATTGCTGCTCCGTCTTCAACATTGATATACTGACACATTCTGCAGTTACTACGTGGGGAATAACGGACTGACACTCTTCAGTGGGTTTCTGCATTAAAATTATTTTTTTTTTTTTTTTAGGAACATTCATTCTTATCTGAAATCTGCTTCATAAATATCTAGACTTTGCTCCCACTGCATTCCAAAACCTGCTTTCTCAAGCCGCAGGTCCCGAGGGAACACTGGTATTTGCAGGCTCCAGACGAACAATAAACAGCATTGTACTGTTGAGCAATGGAATATCCTTTGCTATCCAGGTGCTTGTCTTTCTCTGCATCGGTAGCTTTGCCGACTTTGGCACCTGGAGGCCAAACATACTCATTGCGTTGTCTATCATCGCATACGCAGTTGGCTTTGGGTGGATAGACGTCCACACTTCTGAAAAATGGCACATTGCATCTGGCCTTTACATTGTAGGTCTTATTGCCTACCAGACTTGCCTGACCTTTTGGACGGCGGCCTTTCCCGGTCTTGCAAGAAATACAGCCGAAATTCGACAAAAGGCAGATGAATATCGTGCTGGCCTCATCACCAAGGACGATTTTGATGCCGTCGACTCGATGAAGCGAAGCCAGTTGTCAAATGTAGCCTTTTATGTCCAGTCTGTTGGGGAGGTGTTTATACTGGCCATAATTGTGGGCATTATGTTTGCATTGGACGTCAATGCCAGCGAGGCCAATAATAACAAGGGATTGAGTGTTCTTATTGCGTTTGCAACGGCTGTTTGGTTGCTCCTGTCGATACCCTGGTTCATCCTGGAGAAGAGACGGCCCGGACAAGATCTGAACGGAAAGAACATCGTTCTGGCTGGTTTGGGTCAGCTATATCGTGCGGCGACCGAGATATGGTCTCTAAGGCAGAGCTTATTCTACCTTATCGGTAAGTCATTGCATTACCTTGCTTGTCTGGCTAGGTAAGCATGCTAACCGTCAAGCCAAGGGTACTTCTTGCTCGGAGACTCTCTAAACACCACCGTTACAGTGATCGCAACGCTTCAAAACAGCATCGTTGCATATAACACGCTCCAGTTAACATACCTTCTTATAGTTGGCATCGTTTCTCAGGTAAGCTAACCTATGCTACCCAGTATTGATCTCATCTGACCTTCTTGGATAATTCCACAGGCCATCGGAATCTATGCGTTCTGGGCCATACAGCAGCGCTTCAGCTTACAGCCCAAGACTATGTTCAACGTTATTGCAATCGCCATCATTCTCCTTGACGGCTGGGGGATGGTCGGCATCTGGACCTCTCGCTTTGGATTCCACAACACCTGGGAAGTCTGGGCCTATCAAGCATTCTATGGCCTTTTTGTGTGTCCCTGGTATAGCTACAGCCAGATCATGATATCGGAAGTGACTCCTCGGGGCAAGGAGTTCCTCTTCTTCAGCCTGTTCAGCATCATTGGTAAGACGTCTTCTTTCATCGGCCCGCTGGTATCCAGCGCCATCATAGATGCTTCGCCATCAAGGAACAATTCGACTCCGTTCTACTTTCTGTTTGCTCTTAGTCTGGCAAGCTTTGTGTTCCTTTTCTTCTTTGTGGATGTACCGACGAGCCGGAGGGAGCAAGAGCTCTTTTTGGCCAGGGAAAAGGCGAGACTCGCGGAGAGAGAAGGGTCTTTGACTGGCTGAACATGCCAGAATAGCCTGCGTATATAATACTTTATTATCTAGTCAGTACTCCGTAGTTATCGAATGAAATGAATCCTGCATTGATTGTTCCTCGAATGTTCTTCTTTTGCGATGTCGGTGTGGCTGATGTCATCATCCACGTGATATGAGATAACATAAGCAGCCTCCGTCATCTGACGACGGCGTCCAGAGGAGCCAAAGAAACGACAAGCAGAGCAAAGCAACAAGCAAGCATCAGCCAGCATCAGCGTCATCGTCTCGACTGTCATCTGCCTGCTTAGGAGCACCGCCAGAGACGCCCTTCGCCTGCACATATACAGACTGCCCTCCGGCCTAGCAGCCCCTTGCCCCCTCGCACCCGTCTGCTCGTCTTGCCTACCGTATCTACGACTCGCCCGGACCTCAGATCAGCCCCCTCTACGCCCAAGGTGTCCAGCTCTTACACAACAACCATGGCTGCAAGAGCTCCAGGAGGCCGGACCAGTGCTAGGTTCGCCCAGTTCAAGCTTGTCCTTCTTGGTAAGGTATCCCGCTTCAATATAGCGGACGTTCGGTTTAAAAGTGAAAGTTTCATGCTAACCACTCTATGGTGTATGTAGGAGAGTCGGCTGTCGGAAAGGTGAACTTCCTGGCCCCTTGATCCATAATTATGCAGCCTTCTCTGATAGGATTACTGACTGACGTCTCCGGTATAGAGCTCCCTGGTTTTGCGATTCGTCAAAGTGAGTAAAAATCTTTGTATATAATAATTAATATTTCTGCCTTGTTGGCGGTGTACTGACGCCTGGTCCACTCTGCGTTAGGATCAATTCGACGATTACCGAGAGTCTACCATCGGCGCTGCATTTCTTACACAGACCATATCACTCGACGAGACTACGACAGTAAAGTTCGAAATATGGGATACCGCTGGCCAGGAAAGATATAAGTCGCTCGCGCCCATGTACTACCGAAATGCCAACTGTGCCGTCGTCGTTTATGATATAACCCAGGCGGTAAGGATCGTCCTCTTTTTATGCTACTACTCGGAGATTAGCAGAACTGACACAATGCATAGGCGTCTCTTGACAAGGCCAAGTCGTGGGTAAAGGAGCTGCAAAGACAAGCGAACGAGAATATCATCATTGCGCTTGCTGGAAACAAACTCGATCTCGTCAACGAAAGCCCTGACAAGCGCGCCATTGAAACCGCAGATGCAGCTGCTTATGCCAAAGAGGCCGGTTTGCTGTTCTTTGAAACATCTGCCAAGACGTCAACAAATGTACGGGAGCTATTCACTGCTATTGCGAAGAAACTACCGCTTGACCAGGCCGGCCCACGGAATCTGCGAGCAAACCCAAGACCGGGCGTTGATTTACGCCCAGAGTCGGCGAACACACAAGGAGGAGCTTGCAGCTGCTGAGTGTATTAGATGATTTCTACCCTTTATCTCCTTCTTTTTTTTTCATGATGGCTGCTTTTGGAATGTACATGGGTAATGAAGAAGTGGAAACGAGTGACGAGAGAAACCTGGCGTACCTCCCAGGCACAACAGCGGTACCATCTAATACGGTTTCATTGGAGCCCTTTCACATACCCCCCGCCTCCAGGCCCTTGAGACATCGAACCGACAGCATCTTGGAACAGTTTCTCAGTATCCATTCGTCCACCTACCTTATACACTGCTCTTGATGGGTTTTCCTCTCTATCCCTCCGCCTCTCTCTTATACTTCATTAGATATCAACTTGCGGCGCGTGTTTCCTCCTGCTATCTACGGTTTAATATCTGTTACCTTTTCCACTGACATGCTCTGCCCTGGTGTTAATATTGGCTTCACTGCTATTCACATTTGTAATTTGTTACGCCTTCCTGCTATCATCTTTACTCTTCCTTTCCCCTTTCCTTCTGTTACTCCGTGACCTCGGAAACGAGCAAGTGTAATCAGCTAGGACATCATCTGCTATCCCAAGTATAACCAAATGGATTCCTCTATCAAAAGTTGCCTGCCTCCTTGCAAAAGCGCCTTGCCTGTCCGTAAAACAGCGATGTAATAGCTTAAAGCGGCGCTAAAACCTTACCGGGCGAAACTACTTTTTGCTTGCACCAAAACATTCGACGTCGCCGTCTCACGACACAGCACACTCTCCGTCTCTCAGCCCATGAGCCGACAGCCATCCAGCTTCTGTCGACGATCCAGCGGCATATAACGCCCAGCATGCTGCGCAACTCAATTGCGCCGTCCCGAGGACTGGGCTCGTTGGCCCGGCAAAGGCTCACCACATCCGGACGAAACCTCATAACCAAGGTCCGTATTAACACCTTCCGACGGCAAGTGTACTAGATGGCCACCGGCTAATGGTGTCTAATTTCGTTATTTAGAGGAGTTACATTGAAGGTAAAAGCGCGGCCTGGCCTTCTGGGAGGTCAATTGCCAGTGTACTGCCAGCCCGAAAAACCTCATGTGCCACATTTACCACCAGCGCAACCCGTGGGAATGAGCAAAATATTCGATCACCGCCATCTCCATCTTCCGCCTCAGCTATATCGCCCGAAGGTATTTCGAGACCAGCATCTTCCTCACCTGCTGGCCAGACTTCTCCTGGCTCCTCGGTCAACCCGCCTGAGCCCCCGAAGGCTCAGACCGGCGCTCCTCCACCTCCACCACCACCACCTCCTGCTCCTAAGGCCAAGGGAAGATTCGGCAGATCCCTGCTGTACCTTGTTCTCACGGCTGGAGTTGCCTATGCCGGAGGGGTGTGGTTTTCTCTCAGATCCGATAACTTCCATGACTTCTTTACCGAATATGTTCCCTACGGCGAGGAGGCTGTATTGTACTTCGAGGAACTTGATTTCCGCCGTCGTTTCCCCAATGCCACCCGACATATCAACACTCGTCCTGCAGCTCCCCGCGATGAAGGCGAAAAAGTGACTATACCCAGCAAGAGTGGTGTTTCATGGAAGGTCGCTGAGAACGAAGGTACCAGTGATGTAACTCACAAGGGAAGACATATGAGTGCCGTGGATGCTGAAGTTTTTCGCACTGGCGGAGATGCAAAGTCCGCGTCAAACAAACCCACTACCGAGGACAAGAAGGGTTCTGAGAAGACCGGTTCGAAGAAGGATGAAAGCAAGGAAAGAGTCCCCGTTACAGACACTAAGAAGTCGACTGTTTCGCTTGATGAGCCAAGGAAGCCAGCAGTTGCTACTGTCTCAAGCATTGAGCCATTGGCAGCCTTACAAGATGACCCGATCATCCAGGAATTGACCAAGATTGTTAATGGACTTATTGCTGTTATAAATGCAGATGAGTCTGCTTCTAAGCTTGCTGCTCCTATTGCCAAGGCAAAGGATGACTTCCTGAAGCTCGGAGAGCAAATTTCCAGTATCAAGAAGGAGGCACATATTGCAGCTCAGGAGGAAATCAAGAATGCTCACAAGGAGTTTGAGCGCTCTGCTACTGAACTTGTCCGACGAATCGATGAAGTTCGCTCAGAAGAGGCCGCTGAATACCGTGAAGAATTTGAGACAGAACGCGAGAAGCTCGCAAACTCTTACCAGGAAAAGATCAAGACCGAGGTTGAGCGAGCCAATGCAGTTGCTGAGCAGCGACTTCGAAATGAGCTAGTTGAACAGGCCATTCAGTTGAACCGCAAATTCCTTAGTGACGTTGACACGCTAGTTGAAAAAGAGCGTCAAGGCCGCTTTAGCAAGCTCTCTGAGCTATCGGCCCAGGTTGCTGAACTTGAAAAGTTAACTGCAGGATGGAACGAGGTTATTGGTGCCAACCTGACTACCCAGCAGCTTCAAGTCGCTGTTGATGCTGTCCACAGTGCTCTTGAGAGCGAGAGCATGCCTAGGCCATTTATCAACGAACTTCTCGCTGTTAAGAGCCTTGCTGGCCAAGATCCAATTGTCAACGCCGCTATTTCTTCGATAAACCCCACTGCTTATCAACGTGGAATTCCATCTACTGCCCAGATAATTGATCGATTCAGGCGAGTTGCCAACGAAGTCCGCAAGGCAAGTCTCCTCCCCGAGGATGCGGGAGTAGCCAGTCACGCTACCAGCTACCTGATGAGCAAGGTCATGTTCAAGAAGGAAGCGTCCTCCAGCGGAGACGACGTTGAGAGCATACTCACCCGCACAGAGAAGCTCCTTGAACAAGGGAACCTCGACGACGCGGCTCGTGAGATGAATGCCCTTCGCGGATGGTCGAAGCTGCTCAGTAAGGATTGGCTGGCTGATGTAAGAAGAGTTCTGGAAGTTAGACAAGCCCTGGAGGTATGTTTCCTTTTCCTATTACCAACACTGTCTCTACTTATATACTACAATGAATACTAACTCTAGCTGCTCTAGGTCATTGAAACCGAAGCCCGTCTTAAGTGCCTCCAGGTCGAGAGCTTGGGACACTAGCTCCCTCTGCCAATTTTTCCTTAACCGTCTTTGCATTCAAAAGCCCTGTCCATCATTTAGAACCTTAGTTTCCTGCTGTAAAACAGATCTCAATGTATCTACTAGAATTGCAAAACGTAACTTCTGGACTATCCGTCCTCCTCCATCTTCCTCTCCTTTTTTTTTTCTTTTTGCCAACTTTTTATATTGACAAGTCTTGGCCCTGGCCGCGTATAATACCACGTGACATTGTTTGTCTTGTTTGCACATCTCAACACTCCCTAAAGAGGCAAAAAAGGAGTAGCCGCGCGGATCTTCATCGAACTAACAAACATCAGACATCAACACCAGCAGCAGCCGCTTGGAAGATGTGAATGAAGAGCCGACGGCCATGGTTATCGACTATATTTCAACCAGGTTGGATCCGCTCTGAACTGGTCATCTTTTCTCTTTGGGCGGACTTTGTCGTTCTTGCTTTCTTTTCTTGTATGACCTAGTCCCATGTCTCAGCCAGGGCCTAATCACATGCATAGCTACAGCTTTGATTTTGATAACATTCCCTCAGCCCAGCTTTCTGGAGCTATCGTCAATTCATAGCCTCGATGGCTCGTTCTTCTCAAGAGTCGGATCAAGACCGGAGTGAGTACGCGGACAGGCGTGCATCCGAGGGCTATGGACAAGCCACCCCTAACTCCAATAGGGGCGGAAGCCTTGACCAAACCCCTTCCCCAAGTTCAGATTTTCTTCTTCAAAGGAGGCATAGAAAACAAGGAAGCAGTACATTTCGACTAGAGTCTCCCACAGGGCCTCCTAGTTCAAATTCTCCATGGGCAGGTGTTAGTCGACGGGGTAAAGACACCATTCGTCATCAAAGTGATGATAGTGAGCTGGTCATCCCCAAACGCAATTCTCAGCAACGTCGTCAGCTTCATACGCCTAAGCCATCCATTGGTAGCTCACCGCTCTCGAATGTTGTGTCACACGAAGAGAATGACCAAAGAGATGCACCCTATACCCCAGACGGTCAATCACGCGTACATCATCGACAGTCTCCGTCAGTTGGACTGGATACAGATCCTGCCCAAATTGTCAATCTCGCGCTAAGCCTTAGCGACTCGCGGAACAGGGTTTCTTCGTCCCGTACCGTTTCGAGCGGAATTCAGCGTACGAGACTGTCATCCTCTATGATCCATTCCAAACCTCAGGGTTTACAGTCGCCGAGGATTTCTGAAATTGAAACGCCAACGCGAAGGCCATCAACTTCTCAGGGAACAGTCGATCTCAGATATGGAGCCACGCATTATGGCGAGGTTCAGCTCTCCCATGCAACTCTTGCCAGGGCCGAGAAGGCTAAACAACACTTTGAGTTGTTTGAGCATTATTTGCGGCTCCTTCCACATCTACCGCCTCTGCCATCCCCTGGAGATGCATCTGGCAGGCACCAAACAAACCGAGGGTACCAAGAGGACACCCCAGAAGGCAGACAGTACAACCCCTTGCAATATTTACGCAATAGAAAAGTCAGGTACAGGGAGAGACAAGCTATTGATTCCGAGGCGGCAGGGTGGGGAGATGTTGAAAAGGTCTCAGAATGGGTCGATTCCATTGTTCAGGCCCCCAACTTACATCTGCGGGAACCTGATGAATATATTGATCTACCGGAATTCCAGCCTAGTGCTTCCAGAGTCGATCCAGAAGACAAGTCTGATCGAACTTTGACGCATACCAAATCTGGCGAGGTTTTACGGCGTCGCCCTCGAATGGATTGGGCTACGACGCCATTAGACCTTCTGGCAGATATTGTTTGGTATGAACAAAATGGCAACAAAGCCAAGGTCGAAGATCGACATGGGAAGAAGCTATTCCCTCGTGGCATCATAACTAGACATCATACCGACCCCCGTGCAATTCAAGTAGAATCTCCTGGCTCTACGGAGCAATCAAATGCACAGGTTGATGCTAGCTCAGAGATAGATGATATCCAATACCTCAGTACACCTACACCAGCTGGTAGCCGGAGCCAACAAAACGCTGAAAGAGGGCGCTTACGGCACCGACTGGCCCATTCCATTAATTTGACACCAAACCATAGCAGATCGAGAAAGCAAAGCAAATCCCCAGTTAAGAAACGACCTCGTAGCTCTTCTGAATCATCGCGCCATTCATACGGTAGCAACAACAGTGAAAGTTGGAGACGAATATCCAAAACAAAAACCAGAGAATTCGGTGATAATGGAAAGAATTCACGAAGAAACGCTGCCGTCTTAGATACCGGCAGACCAGTCACGCCCAACCAAGCTTCTCTTGACACTGAAAACATCCATAAAAATCATTTGAGGGTTCCAAATACACCGGAAAACACGCTTCTCCCTAATCCAGACTTTGAGTCTAACCCTCACATATCACCACGCCACGAATATTCTGCTTCTAATTCCTCCCTGGCAAGTGATGGTGGGATAAATGGCTCTCGAGACATGCCGAATCAGGATGACAGCGGCCCTTTCCAGACCCCTGGCCCGAGAGGGTTCTTCCCGAATATGTCAATAAGCCTTTCTCCCCTGCGTGGACGCTCCACGTCACCCAGTCGACGGCATCCCTTCCATTTGGGGCACTCAAGGAAGCCCAGCCGACAAAAACAAGGGCAGATTCTGGATTTCACGGAATCCCAGGGCGACCTTGGCACTCTATCTCATCGCCGTACGACTTCTAACCTCTCTCCCCCAGGCTCTCCTTCGGTACCAGAGGGCCAGAAGACCCCAGTTTTCCGAAGAGCAGATAGTTCTCCTGCTAAGAATACTCGCAGTAGCGGTCAACAAGACTGGAAAAGGCTCCTTAAGGGAACCCGGATCGCAGAGTTGGTTGGGAGTGAAGTGTCAAGGGTGGGAGACTTAATACGGAAGAAAGACAATTTCAGCCACTCAAGGCGATCGTCTGCGTCGAGTTTATCAGAATATGTAGATGCAGATACCAAGATACCTACTGAGGATGATTCATTCTTCTGTCCAGCACAAAAGGTGGACTCTGATAATTCCAAAGCACATCAAGGACAGCTTCCGGATTTCACCTCTAGTTCACAAACCAAACCTTTAAATGATAAGGATGATGTCGCTGAGGATGAGATGACTACAGAAACTCAAGACCCTGATTCCAATATGGGTTTGACTAGCCAGGATATATCCACATCAATGAGCCTTGACGAGATTACGAGGAACTGGACACCTCGATATATCCCTTGCTCTGGCCGTGTCAGCAAACGAGACATTTCTTTCGCTCGCGCTCGTCTCCTATCGTCAGGCATCAAAGCCTTGGAAATATGCCGTTATGCCGAGAGCTCTTCTACACCCTTCGCAGACTCATGGTTGAACGACCCGGTTAAATACAACAATATCGGTCCATATATTTTAAGCACAGGAGCAGCTGCGCTTCGCACCAGACGAACAGTCGCAGAATTTGATGAGCGTGTGACTGCGTACAATAAGACCATCATGGATTTTACCAAAGTTAAGGCTCCACCCATGCAATCCAGGATCCGAAACCTCGAGATGCAGATTAGCAGTACGCTCACGCTTCGCATAATACCGTTAACGACCCGGGCGGAAACCCTGGCAAATGAACTTGGGACAAAATGTACATTGCCTGTCAAAAGGCTTGAGAATATATTGAATAAGGGTCTGAGAAAGCGAAGTCGCCGAATCCGCTCCATGATCACGCTATTATCCGCAATCTTTGAATGGATGCTTATGGGAGTTTTCTGGGTTGTTTGGATCAGCGTCATGATCTGGAAACTAATCCGGCTACTTGCATTTGGAGCATTCAGGGGTGTTCGCTGGGTTCTCTGGCTATGATCTATCTTCACCCCAGCTATTCTGACAAGGTAGCACTTGAATTTGTTTACCCTAGTCATGAATATTGCCCTTTAACCTATACACGAGCACGTCTTTTCTTGGTCTCGACTTATTGAATTAGCCTGTTTTAATCATGCAGTGATACCCTATTTGATAATTTGTCTTAGCTCTTCTTCCTGTCGAGTCACTTTTATCGTGTTTTATTAGAATTTTTTGACCTCAGTGGCGTTTATGGGTATAAAACACTACTTTAATTCACTATAATACCCTTTAAATTGTATCCTTAGAGATCTTACTTGAGTGTATGATACTTTAATACCCAGTGAATACCCGACACTAGTGATGGGTGTCTAGAAATAATTGTTTCTCACTTCTTTCAAAGGGATATTCTTTCTCCTTTATTCATATCCATGTCTCTGCGTGTATCTCTTCAAGGTCGGTTTTAGCGGAAGTCCCCAGCCCTACGGATGTCCATGGATCCTACCAGCCAGTTTGAAATCACTAAGGGTGATGATCTCATGTATTCTACTGAGCTCGGTGAGTTCACGGGAGACCTGCCATATCACTAGAACCCTTTTCAAGCGGCCTTGCTTCCAACATAAAAAGCTGCTCCTTCTTGGCTACCTTCTTGCTCCCCTTTTTTTCGGCCATCAAATTTCCGTTTTGTCTTTAACGAATACCCTTTTCCTCACCAGTTGTGCTTGAAGGATAGTTGAAAGCAACTACCCAGGAGTCCAACGTTGTGATTCAATATATTCAATATACCAGCGTCCGGGTTACGTTTTTATCCAGGAGAACCAGCCAAATCCAGCACCCCAGATCCAATCTCGCTTTGACTCTCTTATTGTGTCTGGAGAAAAAACATATCTATATTCGCCTTTGCGATTCTGTTCTCAATGCGTGGGATAAGCCCTGTTAACACTCCCACTGGTGGTAGAAGTTCTGTCCCATATGCAGTCAGCCCTGTGAGTTCTATACGCCATCATAATGTCCTTGACGCAGGACAAGCGTATAACTTCCAGAACGCGGAGAGTGGCTCCATGGTGCAATATGGAGGGGCTCAGAAACGAGACACGGGCGTTGTAGAAGTCGAGGGCAGACAGTATACGTATGATATGGACTCACGGGAGAGACTCAAGGTCCGCAACATGCTTGAGAGACAGAAAAAGGCTGGCAAGACCAGTGTAGAGATTGGAAAATATCTCCTCCAGACGTATAATAATCGGGACCAAGGACTTGGGGGTATGGTGACGTATTTGTTTGGCAACGGGAATCCATACGTTAGCATCACTGCTATTGTTATGAAGGCTGTTGGCTTGAATCCACCGGTCCAGAACGGCTATAGAGCAGAGTCAGCTTATGCTACTCCAACGCCTTCCCGCCCATCTCCAAATGGCCATAAGTTGTTGAAGTATGAGGCTAGCAGCCGGGCTGGTACTCCTGCGCAAGACACAGTTAACCCAAAGTACACCCTTGAAGACAGTGAGGAGCCTCCCTTTTTGCGGCCGGCTACGCTCGAGCGTATCCAGCGGGGATATTTCGATCCAAAGCTTGACTGGGGGAGAAAGTAGGAGTTGGTTTTATCGCATGATGCAAAAGCAAAATCATAGATAGTATGCCATAGATTCAGCGTTCAGCGACGGAGTTGGAGGTTTCGGTCTTAATATTTCAATCACAATTTAACTATTACCCATTTCTCTGGCATCATCAATGAAGACTAGAAAGAAAGTTATAAACCTGGTTCCATTGTAGTAATGCTAGCTATCAGACGCAGAGAGATAAACCAACACCGAGGTCACCCATGCTAATGAAGAAAGAGAGGAGTAGGTAAAGGCAGTCCAAAGGAACAATAAACATAAAAAACAGAGAGGATAGCAATATGCAGAGGCTAGGAGCCCAACGAGTCTGTAGCAACGGTTTGATAAGGAGACCTTTTCTTGACGTTTCTTTTCCGTGTAGATGCTCTCAGGCGGGAAGGGATGCCGGCAACAAAGCCGGTAAACTTGGACCAAGAAGACCTGGAGGGAGCAGAGCCATCGCTATCCGTGGCTACTGTGCTGCCTTCTTCATAGACTGTGCCGTCGGGAAGCCTACCGCGGGTCCGGAGGCGTGGAAGGATAAGGTCTTGGTTTGTTATTGGGCTATCGTTAAAAGGCGGGATGGTGGAAGTAGACGGTTTGGACCGGTCTCGCAAGAAGGAGAGTGTCTTTCGCAGAGACCTCCCCATGGTAGGCGGTTTCTCGAGTGCTGGACAAGGCCGCTGGATTTGGGCGCTAGGCGACAGAGCTGGGTCTGGGAGTCGCTGCAGACAAAACTGACATGCGTCCGCAACGGCCGGATCTCGATGAGCTGTTCGGACGTCTGGACTCGGACTCGCTTCTGAATCTGACGGCTCAGGCGGGTCGTTTTGGAGCGGTCTTATATTCCAGACAGGTGGTCGATGGCTGTATTCCCCCTGGCGTCTCTGTATGTTCAACGATTCATCGGGGCTGATTGCTATCGGAGTGCCACCCTCTGGGTCTAGAAATGTCCTCGGAAGCTGTTCGGTCCTATCTGGGGTCTCTATCTTGACGGTGCCCGTTTCATTCATGGTGCTGGTGACGCTGTGTAGCATTCTGGGGGGTCTGGCCGCCTCCACGGAGAGACGGCTGATATCCGACAAACGCCAGCCCTGGAGCTCTTATCAAGAAACCGAGTAACGAGGCAGGCCAGTGAAGCGAGAATCGTTACAGACCCAGAGGAGCCTATCGACCGGCGAGGGAGATAAAGATGACGCCCTTCACAGCTGGCCCGGCTGGTATAAATAAACACATCCTCGAGAGAAACCGCGATAGAGCCAGCCACAGAGAGTTAAGGGAAGGACGCGGTGACGAGCAGGGCATCATGAGAGAAGCCATCGAGCAGGCAGTTGGTGAGGCTTGACATCGTTATTCACCGGGGTATCAATCAGTTGATCACCGTCCACGCTGCTGGCTGCTGGTTCCATGGGGTGCAACAAGCAGCCCTCGAGGCGGCGGGGAGTATGTAACACTGCGACGAGAGAGAGGCGTGGAGCCCATCACGCTGGCCGTCGTCTATCAGCATGATGTCACTCTCTGATGGGAATGATGAGGTTGATCGCCCTCATAAACGTGTCGAGCAGTTAATCCCTGCGGCTGGCGCTTGTTGGGACGCTGTTCGGCTCATATCGTATCCAGCCATATGAATAACTAGCCGGCTGCCTGGCGAGATCCCAACACTGAGGCTCACATCAAGCGCCAGAAGAGCCCTTAAAACAGCTTCATCTTCGCCCTTCCACCGACTCCGACTTCGTCTACCCGTAACTATTATTATTGCAGCAGAGTTCCAACCCGACCATCAGCCGCCCGCGATGCTTCCCCGGCGCCTCCTGAGCCCGCGTGCGCTGCTGGCGATGCCTCGGCCCCGGCAGTCTCGGTGGGTCAAAAGCCTCAACCTCCGCCTGATCGAGTTATTCTCCAAGTTGATGATAACTCCGGGATCTCTTCCCCCTATGCATGAAAGTCATCCATAGCCACGGCTAACAGACGCCTGCAGGAGTCAGCATCTACCGCCCTCGTCGGCCTCCCCATCCTCGACCTCTGCGCTGTCGCTCGACCGGCGGTTTTCTGCTGCTGCTGCTGCTGCTGCTGCTCCCGGCCTGCCCTCTACGGACACCAAGATGGCTGCACCCAAGATCACTCTCTACGTCGACATCGTCAGCCCCTTTGCCTACATCGCCTACCATGTGCTGAGGGTAAGCACGAGATTGGTCGTCCTGTTTCTTGTTTCTTGCTCCTTGCATGGACTTTGATTAATTCTGACTTGCACTCTCGATGGCGCCAGAACTCCCCTGTTTTTGCAAAATGCACCACGACGTACGTCCCTGTCCTGCTTGGGGGCATCATCCAGGCTACGGGGAACACTCCTCCAATCCGTATCAAAAGTAAGCCGTTGACCCGTCCTCCACTTGCTCTGCTCAATCTCCTCTTGCAGGCTCGTCTAATTTCATATATTTTAAATCCCGCAGACAAGGATAAATGGATCAACGTGGAGCGCCTGCGCTGGTCAAAGCTACTGGGAGTTCCCATTACTGAGGCTATGCCAGACGGATTTCCGGTTTTTACTCTAGCTGTAAGTTAATCTCCGGCGGTGAAGGCCCCTTGCTGTATTCATCGTTGCTCCTGTGCGATGCCTCTGCAAAATTTTTCTCCCTTTCTTTTGCTTGTGGTGTTTTCACTGATTTTCATGCAGGTCCAGCGGGCTCTCTGCGTCGTTGCGGCCGATCACCCTGAAAAATTGGCCGGCTGCATTGATGCGCTATACAATACGCTATGGGTCAAGAGAGACTCGTCTGTTATCAAACCGGAAGGTTATGTGCCGGTGCTAGAGACCGTGATTGGCAAAGACGCTGCGATCAAAGTAGCGGAGAAGGTAAGGAATTTTTGAGTGTCTGGAGGATATCATACATGTGAAACTGGACTCTCCCTGTTTTTCCTCCCCGCTAACTGTGAGGGTAGTCAAATACTGCCGAAATAAAGCAGAAGCTGGTATCAAACACAGACCGGGCCGTTGAATCTGGTGCATTCGGCTTGCCGTGGATGGAATGCACCAATTCCAAGGGTGAGACAGAGTCGTTCTTTGGTGTAGATCACCTTGGACAAGTCGTTGCTTTCCTGGGCTTGGATGGCACGCTTGGACAAGGCTTTAAGGCGTTACTCTAGATTTTTTTTTTTCCAAGTGCGGATGCAGCCGTGCTTAAGGGGCCCATATAACACACTGATAGACAGAGAAGACACACCCATTACCTATTGAAGACGAGCAGTTGGGTATTGAACAGTCAAGCAAGATCTACATATTTTGTCGTGTGTGTGTAAAATGCGCCGTCCAATAATAATAAGCTCAGAATGGGTCTATTTTAAACTATATTATTGGTCAATCTGTCGATATGTTATTCGCCAGATTTAGATTAGTCATTATCTTGGCAGGAAAAGCTTATCTGAGTGTCAGGTAGCCGTCCCTTCTGACTCCATCTGAAGAGCACTTCTTGAATATCAACTGCAGTACAAAGCCTATCATTTGCCTCTCCTCTCAGATAACTACAGCCATCTTACTCCCCACTTGCAAGTTCACCCGCGTACCAGGATTCCGAGGTCCCCCGATCAGTGACGTCTCGGCCCGGAATAACATCTTTACCGGTGATATTTCACTGCCCGAAGGTAGGAAGGTGCGCCCCGGCCCGGTCCATGCAGGCGGATCTACTTTAATTCCGAAATTCAGCCAATAAGATTTTAGTAATTCAAGTATGCCTGAACTCAGATTTCGCCGCAATAACATGAACTAACATCATTTCTATGGAGAACATTCAACTTCTTATTATTCGGGGAAATGGATGTCGTTGTTTAAGCGCAGATAGCTTGCATAGACTTTAGCTACTTATCTTAATTCCAACCTCGCCGGTGTTCAATACAGATGGACAAAACAGAGTTGGAGCAACCATGTCCAGCTGAGAGCCAGCAGAATCACAAGCGGCCGGCTCCCGAAGAACTTTCTATCGCCCCTGACGCCAAAAGAAACAAAGCTATTGATGGCGGGCCGACAGTGCCGGATTCCAACATTTCTACTATTGTTCGACGGGCTCCTTTCCCCAACAAAGTATTCCATTCCCCCCTCTCTCCCGCTCCCTTCCCCCCATCTCTCAAATACAAAATATGTGCTAACAACATTGTCAAGCCTGCAGTGCTGGAAGAACAGAGAGGCGAGATAGAGTACCGGGTAGTCAACAATGACGGTTCCAGAGAAAGTACAATTATTCTCACGGGTCTTAAATGCCTATTCCAAAAACAACTCCCAGAAATGCCTAAAGCTTATATCGCACGTCTCGTTTACGACCGTGCTCATGTGTCCCTAGCCCTTGTTAAGATGCCCCTTGAGGTTATTGGCGGAATATCGTATCGGGAATTCCGCGCTCGCAAGTTTGCCGAAATAGTGTTTTGTGCAATATCCGCTAAGCATCAAGTAAAAGGATATGGGGCGCACCTTATGGCCCATCTGAAGGATTATATCAGAGCTACCTCCCCAGTGATGCATTTTTTAACTTACGCTGATAATTATGCCATTGGCTACTTTCAGAAACAGGGTTTCACAAAGGATATTACTCTCGAAGAGTCTGTCTGGATGGGGTATATCAAAGACTACGAAGGGGGAACGCTTATGCAATGCACAATGCTTCCCCGAATGAGGTACCTTGAAGCTAGCCGTATGCTCCTTAAGCAGAAGGAGTGTGTCCAGGCCAAGATACGTACCTTTAACACCAGTGATGTTGTCCATCAGCCACCTGAGCAGTGGGCTAATAGCCACGGTGACATCGCCCCAATCGATCCACTCTCTATCCCTGCAATTCGTGCAACTGGTTGGTCTCCTGACATGGACGAGTTATCACGGATGCTGCCACGCCGCGGGCCTTATTTTAAGGAACTCCGGCATTTTTTAACTCTTATGCGAAACCACAAAAGCGCATGGCCCTTTGCTCACCCTGTTAACAAAAATGAAGTCCCCGATTATTACAACATTA